TTTATATATAAAAACTCAAAAAGACAACACATGAGAATATATATATATATATATATATATATATATATATATATATATATTATTTTTTTTTATTTTTTTTTTTTTATTTTTTTTTTATTTTCTTAATTAAAGATATTTTTATTTTTTGACAAAGTTTTTTTCCATAAAACAACATAAGGCTCTTGAATCTAATAAGGCTAAAACTTTGTGATTTTTTGGTCCTAAAAATACTTCTATTGTGAAATAAGGTGAGAGGTTTGAAGAGAAAATAGGACCTTAATTAGATATTAATCAAGATTTTAGCTGTTTAATTATTATTATAGCTAGAAGAACTTATTTATTGACACATTATCTTCTTTAGCAACTATGCTCTTTATTTTGTGATTGTGTTGCTTCTTTGAACATTATTAAGGAATATTCTTAGATTTTCTATAATATAGGCTCAAACCTTTCTAATAATAATAAGTCTTTTTTTACTCAGAAAGAAGTTTAGAATATATTGTATCAATTTTGCATAAGCTCTAGCATAGTATTACTAAGGTTTGACTTATACTTCTTCAACCAAATCTTTGATCTTGACATCTTTTAAAAAATCAATTCTTGTATGCAATGGCTTGAGTAATAAATTACTCTAATAAATCTGCTCTCTAGATTATTAACAATAAATATTTGACATTATCTTTTGATCTATATCAAAATTGATTGATAAAAATTATATAATTTTAATAAATATTAGAAGCAAGATTTTGGAATTCAATGGCATATGTAGTGGCTGAACATGATTATTGTCATATAAGCTTGATCTTTGCTATTCTTTTATTTTGATTTTTTTCAAATATAGCTATAATCACTTCTAAGAGTGAATTCAAATCATAAAATAGTTGTAAATATTTTTCCATCAAAAACACAAATCAAGAAAGATCACTCTTAGAAAAACGTCATCCTATTAATTTAGTTTGAGTAAATCCATCTTGGTATTAATAAGGATGCAACTTTAGATAGAACTTTACTTATTATAAAAATCCTCAAAACTTTGATTTTGTTCCATCAAACTTCTTTGGCATACTTTTCTTTGTCTTCTTTCTATTTTTAGTTTTTAAAATTTAATTAAAAATTTGATCCATCTATTTTTCTTAATTTCACAATTTTTTAGTACAAACTTTAAACTTCATTATTGACTTCTTCTGTGGATGTAAAAATAGTACTTATATGATTCAAGTTAAAAATAAATAAAATTTTTATCCTAAGAGTATTAATAAGATAATAAAGATCTATAATAGTTACAAATCTATTCTATCAATGAAACAATGAGTTAAGACTCTTATTAAGCATCAAGGAGATGAATCTCAAAAAAAGAAAATCTCAATAAATTCTTTTCTTACTTGAAAAGACTAAAAAATCACTTTAAAATGATAATATATTAAAAGAGAATGGATATTGCTAAAGATAAGATGACAAAAAAGTCTTGAAACAAGACTAAGGTCTAGAAAGGCATTAGTAAGAGTGAAGAAGGCTTTATATACTATCTAACTATGAGCTATGTGGTAATGTTCTATAGGACCTTCAACATGTGTTGACTTTGCAAAACACATATCTTAACTTACAAGGCAAGTTTTCTATATGTGTATGATATAATTAGCTTATTTTATATGTTAATAATACACATAATATGCAGCTAACTTGTTGATCAAATTTTTAACCTATTAATCAACTATAAACACATATGTAGTCAAAGATTTGTTTATGAGATATTATAAAATTAATATATTTTTACTTATTTCTACCTAATCATATAAATAATTAATAAAATAAAAATATATATCCACGACAATGACATTTAAAAAGATAAAAAAAATTACTCATAGATGGCATAATATTAAACTAGAATGGCTATTGCCAAAAACAAGAAAACTAGAAAGTCTTGAATCAATACTAATGGCTAGAAAGCCATTGATTAGAGTGAAAAAGGCTTCATTTTTGCCTCCATATCTACTATCTAATTAAAAGCTACATGATATATTTTTATGAGACCTCAAATACGTATTCAATTTATGAGACATATATCTTAACTTGTAAGGCAAGTTTTCTATATGTATGTTGTCGAGGTAGAGAGAATTTGCCTCAAAGAAGCAAAAGGCTTTTGATTGCAACTAATTGCTTAATCAAGTCTCAAAATAAGAATGCACCAAGTTTATATATAAAATTATTTTATATGAGAATTTATATTAATATATAAGCCTTAAATATTAAAGAACATCTAAAATATGATATAAATATTTTAAAACCTTATATATCCTTAAAGAGAAATTTTTCTAAATTTCAATAGATCATATCTCAAAATTGGATTATCCAAACATATCCAAATTTTACATAAAGTATTGATATACTTTTAAAAACTATTAAAAAAAATTTCAACTATAAATTTATTACAAATCTTAAAATATTACCAAATCCCATATAATAGCTTTAAAGCCTTGTTTCCATATATCTGCATGCAACTTTTTTCATACTTCACAAACTAATCACTTAAATACTATAAAAATTGGCATGTAGCTTTTTAATCTAATACCTCATACTTTTAAAAAAATTGAGCCAAAAACTTGTTTAAAAAATTAAGATATGGCTCCAATCATTACTATCAATAAAATAATTTACTTATTATCTTAGAATTACTAGTGATGTCTTTAACTCTCTATAACTCCTTCTTACAAACTTTGAATGTAATGTCTCTTTGATGAAAGACATAGATCTTGAAATTGTCCTTACAATCACATTTTTTGATCTCCAAAAGCTTTTATATAATTCCTTGTATTATTAAAAAAGTAACAATATGTCTTAAAAGACTCCTTAATTTCAAACGGCTATATCTTCTTCTTCCTAAATAATCTTCTTAATAGTTTGAATCTTCATCTTTGAGCTCTAATCTTTTGTTAAGACTTTATATTAAATATCTAAATCCTATATAATTTTAATATTATAATCAAAATAAATAAACTTCAAAATAAATTTTCTTATATCAACTTTATTTATAATAACCTAATAACAACTCTAATATACATCAAGATTTATAAATATATTATATATTTTAATTAATTTTTCATATCATAAATAATTATAATTTGATAATGTTACATCATTAGCTTATACTACATGCTATCTATATATGTGATACATGGCTAACTTGTTGGCCAAGTGTTTCATCTATCAATCACTTATAGACATGTATAAAGTTAAAACATCATTTAAGAAGCTATGCCACAAGATAATATCAAATCTACTTATGTTTATTTTCTACCTAACACTTCTTATCTTGGTAAATATGTATGCTCATGACAATCCTTGCATAGATCCAAGTCTCCCTTCTTTTTGTTTTTGCCTAGTACAAGTCCTGATCTCCTTCCTCTTTTCCTTTCCTTGGTGTGGATCTTGCTTCTTTTTTTCTTTTCACATACACAAGTCTCGGCCCTCCTCCCTCTCTACCCTCACATTGTACTAGAGAGTTATTCATAAAGAATCATTTACAAAGAAATTTTTCAAATGCATAAGACATATATTTGAGAATGATTAAAAAGGGATTTTTATTATAAGATATTAATAAAATAATTTGTAAAAGGTTACTGGTCGTTGTACAATCTTCATAGAAGCAAGTTTTTATGAGCTTATAGTTTTATGTAAAGACTAAGTGATTGAAGTGTTGTACAAAAGGGTTTTTATAGAATTTTCTTTCAGACTTGGTAATTTGAATTTGTGACAATTACAACAAAAGAAGAAACATTATCTTGCTACAAATTGAAAACAAAAGCTTATGATAATTTTTAAATTCTTAGAAAGATCTCTTATCTACTTTATACAAGTAACTAATTATTTATATCTTATCTAGTATCTATTTTTTGAACAAGTATAAAGTACGTAGTTGATATATTGTTTTTTTTTTTTTTTTTTGTTTTATGAGGCATTATTTACTAGTCTAGGCATTGATAACTGAGTTTGTAATATTTATTTTTTGTTTTATACTATCATACTCTATTACTGATTATAAACACTTAGATCTTTTCAACTACAAGAAATATTTTTACTTGTGAACTTTCAAAGTCTAATCTTTATATGCTTAGAAGCAAAATGTTTTATACTAATTGCTCAAGCTTTAATACTAATATATCACTCTATAACAATGCTACAAAAATCTGCTCCAAATAATGAAGAAGATTGAAATGGTTGAGGCATGGTAGGATTATTTGCTGCTATAATTAAAAGATAGATTTTATTATGAAAAATTAGAAGAACGTGTTCCATATTTGCCTTCTAGAATAACTACACCATAAACCTATAAATATAAAAGTTAAGGTTAAATAAGGGGCAAAGGATGAAAACGGTTCACAAAGATGAATGAGCCTTCATCCAAGAGGGAGAGTATGAATTATTTTTACGAAAAGTATAAAATCTATAAGTACAAGTAAAATGACCACCAATTGTGGGGGGGTCGGTCCACGTGGAGACACACACAATAACTCGAATCTTCCCGGAAGCTCAATTTTCAGCCCGGTCAAATGGCGGGCATCATGCACTGCTCGAAGTAGGAAAAAAAACGAGTCGGAATTGGAAAAGGAAATAGAAAATGGATGAGCTCATTCGTGCCAGAAGTTTCTTTTACCACGTGCACGCAATTTGGCGGTAGACGGGATGGCTCTCTTACTTCAAGTTGACGTTGAGCTTCGGGTCAGCTCCCTGGTTCGGCCAAACCCTAGTTCGTAGCCTCGGTGCCTGTGATCCAATAGAAACATGACCTAGCCTGACCCGAACCTAAGGTTCGGTTCTAGACCAGCGACCACCGGAGCAAGAGCACAGGGTTGTTTCACCGCGGAGCAATAGCAGCCTTTATCCGTGGACCAGTTGCGACTAATATCCACCACCACCATTATTGACACCGACGCCGATAAATTTAATACTTAATTATTAAATTCTCTGTGTCCACAGCCCAACGCACACACTTATTCCTTTTAAACTTACCGTATGAAATGCATGCTGCCGCTGTGAACGGTGAGGGAGAGCGGGAGGGTGTTGCAGGAGTGGAGGGATTGGCTCCCCGCAGATAGATTCTCCGCTTTGCACCAGGGTGATTGATTGCTCGCGCTCTCTCGTCGTCCCAAGATTACCTACGATGGCATTTGCCTCTTCATGTAGAACATTGCTCTTCCCATTGTCTTTTGCCGCACAACCCGTGCCATAACGGCTCTTAGTTGCGTTTTCTCGCGTTGCATGTGTCTCAAGTGCACAGGACTGCGCAGTGCAGTGCACTTAAACCAGGTTCCCGTGGCTGCTTCTCACCTGAGGACTTTGAGGTACCGTGTCAACCATCTGGGATTTGCTATGGGCTCTATTGTTGCGCTTCTGGGCGGTTTTGCTTGGCGCATCGAACGAGGGGGTGAAAGAGTGCGAGAGAGAGAGGTAGGAGAGAGATTTATATTTAGTAGTTTTTGTGCTTTGGAGACAGTTGCCAGTTTGGTTTATTAGTCCCTATCTTTCCCAAGTCGTGGTTGGGTCTCTCAGGCAAGCCCTAATTGTGGTTTGAGCTCGGATGAGCCGTGACTTGCGCGGGCTCATGTCGCTGGCGGGCTTGTGAGTTATTCTTTTGGTTGTGGCTGTTTGGAGTAAGCGTGTGTGTTTTCTTGATGCTACTTCGTTCTCACGACGTTTGAGCGTGTGGTGTCGGAGTCGACTGCTCTGGATTCTTCTTGTGCCAGTTTTCCGTAATAGACGAAATGAGTGGGTTTGTAATATGGCGGAGATTATTGTTAGCAGAGTCAGGGATTGTTGTTTTGAGCATTGCAATAGCAAGTCGCGCTTCGTGGGATCAGAGGTCGAAATAGAGATGGTGTTATTTGCGCAGAAACTATTTACGTGTGGATGTATGAATTTGACTTCGGTTACGTTTGAGGGTTGGTTTTCAATCGTCTTTTGCATGTTCTAAAAAAAATCTTGCAGTTTTGTTGACAAATGCAGCACACGTCGCACCTGAATTCTTGTTGTGGAGCGCAAAGAAATGATCGATACTCTAAAGCATGTTAACTAGTACTCTGAAGAATTGTCATTCGAGTTTTAGCATTGACGGCATAAGCAATGGGTTATCAATCGGACTTCTCTTTGTTGGATCTCGAGGAGCTTCACGCTCCTACACAGACTGTGACAGGTGTAGTTGCTCAGCGATATTGCCTTGCAAATACTGCGCAATACAGGCTCGAGAACGAGATTCTCTCTAAAGCATGGACCATCACAGACGCAATGGGAGAAGTTGTGTTTCGGGTGCGAGGGAAGAAGGTGGACTGGGTCAAATCCAAGAGAGAGTTAGTGGATGAACATGGGAATTCCATAGTCTACATGGAAGAAAAGGTATGTCTTTCAAAGGGCCATTGACAAAGTGAATAAACATACTTTGAAACATGAAGCATTGCCACATGGAATTGCGCCGCATGTACGCAACCATTGTCGGGTGCATCTAGAGAAATTTGAATAACAGCCGATTACGGAAGCACACGAGTGAAATTTGGCCTGTATAATGTAATTCGATAACAAATCGTTCAAGTGGAGTGAAACACTTAAGGAATTTTATGCATGAAATAAAATAAAATTAGAATTAAAATCTTACATTAATAAATGCATCTGGTCTTTGTGGCAGTCAGTGATGCATCTTCTCACACAATTGTCTTAGTTGAAACCTCATGGTACCATGAAATTCCCTGCATAAGTTATTTGCTCGCCTCTGGCTTAGTGTTTTAGTACACTATGAACTATGGCATGATATTGTGATACGTCTTTCAGCCATGGAGATTGAAGAATGTATGGAGAGCATTTGCTCCGGGTGATTCAGAACCTCTGTATACACTGAAAGCTACCACTGCATTCAGTTTCAAGCCAGGCATCAACATTTTCCTTCGTTCAAACACGGCGCAGAAGAAACCAGATTACACAATTGAAGGTCTCTTTCTTGCCAAAAAATGCAGTATATATTTTGGTGAAGAGCTCGTAGCAGAGGTATGCGACCATTTCCCTCTTCTTCTTCTTCTTCTTCTTCTTTTATATATATGTATATATATACACACAGTTTTTTTTTCCTTCTTTCTTTCTCTCTTTGTCTCTATTTCTCTTTCTCTCTCTCAGACACATATACGTTGAAATCAGCCCGAAATTCTTCTGCTTCTTCACAAGTCCATTGTCTTTCCCAGTCTTGTACTTCTTTGTCTGTGTTCTTTCCAGAATAATATTGAGCACATCCAAATAGTTTTTATATAGAAGAATTATTTTGACAGTCATGGACTTCCGTAAAATAGTTTTCATATAGAAGAACAGACTCTGACATATTGTCTGCGCCTATTTTATCCACAGGTAACTCGGGATGTATCCTTGAAGAACCTCATTGTCAACAAGAGCATCTTCAATGTAACTATATATCCTGGGGTAGATATAGCATTTATCTTCTCCCTCGTTATCATCATGGACAAGATTTATGTCCATGACGATTGAAACGGGAATTACTTTGGAGGTCTATGGGTGACTGCACACGTAGGTTTTCATGTATTGCACAATAACACCAAGAAGGCGCAGCTTTAACAGTAGTATGACCATTGGTGGCTTTCACTTTTAGCTAGTTCTCTTTTAATAAGCAGTTTGGAGTAAGATTTGGATCGAAAACATACGAATAGCTCGACTTGTGTAATAGGAAAGCATGGGGAGATTCCTTTCGTCAGAATATAGCATGAATATTCGACAGTGCAGTTTTTCCGAGGTTAAAGATAAGTATGCATTTGAAACAGGGAACCCAACTGGAATGACTACTTCGTCAAGTGCATGGTTATGAAGTTCTCCGACATCTTATTTGTTCTAGGCTGGAGATCAAGCCGCACTGTCTCTTGCACTATCTTTCAGCTTGACATCAAATAGTATTGACTCCTTCTAGTCTTCATGTGGTTAAAATGTGGGAACATATATCAATCGCATTTTTTAAAAAATATTGAGTTATGTATTTATCTATCTAGAATAAATTCTCATCAATTATTATTAACTTGAAGTCTGTATCATTTCATTCACATTCAAATTAGTGTCTGAACTTCAAATTACAGTTTCTTCAATTGAGAATGTTAATTGACTGTTTCAACGTACTTCCTTTAATTTCTTTCTTTTTCTTCCAAAAACGACCTTGATTCTCTTCCTCTGTGGTCCTTCTTCGCATCACATCGCATGACTTCAATATAAACAAAGGGAATTATTAAGGTTGTAACCCAAATTGACATTGTTACACCCCACATTACCTCTTTGTAGACGATTATCTAATAATATGCCTCTCTCATTTGAGCATATTTATCTTTCTTAGTTTATAGAAAGGGTGGTGGTTGAGAGGGAGATAGTGAATATTTTATGAAAAAATAGGTCACAAGTTTTTTTTTTTTTTTTTTTTTTCATATATGGATATATTTATCCTCATAATTAGTTTAATTCAAAATCTATTTACTAATTAATATTGATTGGCTATCAAAACCACATAAACACTGATTTTTTATTTCAATTTTTTGAAAAATATTGAGTTGCCAAATACACCCTAAGTGTAGAAGCGTGCGTTTTGATCAATTTAGGTGATGCAGAGGTCATGTGTGGTGTAGCAATATCAATTAGGAATGTAACATTAACAATTCTCCAAACAAAATGTCTTAATGTCAACAAATTTTGACAAATGGGCTACTTACACACATGCACCACACAGTCTCTGTCAATTGACAGTAAATGTTTAACAATGAATCTCATTTTAGACTTTGGAATGGTTTGGCATTCAAGACGCATTCACCTGATATTATGAAACTCCTGTCACGCAAAGCAATCCTCTTTCTATTCTGCCTTGAAATACACACAATCACACCTCTTACATATCAAAGTTTCATTAGAGCACTTCGACCGGCTCAAGTGTGAACACGTCCTCAGCCCAGTATTACCCCGAAGTGAACAAGATCCACTCCCACGCTGATTCCTGCCCGCAAGCTGGCAACAACCTGTGCCAGCTCAGCTGTCCATGCACTTCGCTGCTTTTGTTCAGCATTGCTGACCTGGCAGGAGACAGCCCAATGTAATGACTCTGGAATGTAAGAGCCAAGACTTCTGCCACTCATGCCACTCAGAGTCAATGAAATTGGATGAATGATAAATATTCAGATGTAAAGATTGGTAAGTCGAATGATCGAAAAGTCACGTTGGAGACACTTTCTGTAATACTATTATCACTTCACTATGATGGCACAAATGTCAAACAATTTAATTTCAAGTATCATTATTTTTTGTATTTATTTATATGTTTTCTGTCAGAAAGCACCAATAAACCCTCGAAATTATGAATACAAAAAAAACTCTTCTCGTTTGATGTTCATGTGCGATGGTTGTCTTTAAAGTGAATATATATATATATATATATATATATATTCACTCATTGATGGCGCCTCCACACGCTGAGGTCGGTGGTGGGAGTGCATGTGAAAAGTGGGTTTTACCATCCTGTTCGGCTGCCAGGTCAGCATGCCAGCTAGAGTACAACTGGCCATAGGGGGAGATGGGCAGGCTATGCCCATTCCGACCCACGAGGTCCACATCAGCAGCCTTAGCCACGTCAGCTCCCGCCCCATCGTCAATATCTCGTGTTTTTTTTTTTGTTTTTTTTTGTGATTTCATTAGAAATATGACATTAAAAAGATTTTGCAAATATATCAAATAATTATATTGATATCGTGAATGTTGTTATTTTATTTATTTATTTTGGCCAACTCTAAAATGTTGGAGCCATTTTATGGTATGGACTTTAAGTCAATCATTGGCTCAAAATTCGCACTCTAATTTTGAAACCAAAAAAGGGCTAACCATGTCTCTCTTAAGTAATGTATCTATTCAATGATTGTGAATGGATGAAATAAATATTTATTTCAAAATAACGTGTTGTAAAAACATGTTGTTTATTTTATAGAGAGTCATTCAACAAAATGCAAAAAATAATGTTGTAAATGCATCCAAAATAGCTTTGTGGGAAATAAGACACAACTCTTTGAACATGGTTGGGATAGCCCTTATTTTTGCAAGATTTTTAAAATCGTTGTTTACTTTTGATTTTTAAAATCGTTGTAAAATTTTTTAAAATCGTTGTAAAAATCAAAATTCTTACCAGCACGTTTGAATAAAACATCAAGATACAAATTGGCAAGCTTGGTATTATGTTTTGGAATCTTAGTAAATGTTCAAAATGAAGTTTTTTTCAAATTTGATTTACCAATTTCACACCTGTTTCTCTGGATAAAAAGTATTTTATGATTAGATATTTTATTATGCTGTTTTTAGGAGCTATAGTATTCTATTTCTCTCCAACTGTTTTTTTAAAGCATCAAATAAATAAATGAATAAAACTCAATAATATGTTTATTTTGTAAGTTACAATTCAATTTCAAATTCGAATTTGGTGTGATATTACAATTCATCCATGCGGATGAATTGACACTGTATTTGCAATGATGACAGGAAATAGGATTGGCAATGTTCATAATTATAGTATTATTATTATTATTATTAGTTTTTATTAATATTATCCTCTGTATAAAAGTTTAACTTGACTCAAAGTACTTCGATAGTGGGTACTAGGTGCATGTATAATATTACAACATTGTTTCAAGAAATATTACCTAAGACTCTTTGGCAAAACCATGATTTCTATAGACAATCATACTTTACGAAACCATGTGTGTATGTATGGATATATATATATGTAAGCATGAAAAGAATTAAAAAAATGCTAGTATTCTTTAATTATGTATTTATTTAATGGAATTATTTTAATAGAATACGTATGCTTATCACCAAAGTTATAAAAATGACGATTTCAATGTACCAACTATTTTTAACAAATGGTATAACTACTGTCTTATTCATTGGTTTCGTCTACATACTAATAGTACTTAAAAGATAATGTGACATGTTACCAATAAGTTCTTTTAGGTGTAATACTTATCCTACTTGTTCTGAAATAATTCAGTATAGTTTTTCATGTCACATACTGAAATAAAAACAATGTTAAATACGCTTGTAAATGAAAACAAAGGGAAAAAAATGAAAATAAAATAATATATATATATATATATATATATTTATATGTATATATGAAAACATAAGAGTCTCTAAGAATTGAAATAAAAATAGTCTGATTTTGGGTATATTAAAATGAAGTACATGTTCATTCTCTTTTATATTAACAAAAAACAAAAAAATACATTTCTGATGAGTATCAATCATTTCCTCGATATCATATAAGACAAAACAGTGTAACAGGAGTTATATTCAACAAAGCATTGCACCATCTTTATTAAGTTGGAACTATTTTTTGATAAAAGTTTACAAATTGAATTAAAATGATTTTAAATACATACACACATACACACATGGATTTTTAAAATTACAAAAATAGTACATCCTGTTCTAATTAAATACACCTCTATCTTATCAACTAACAAATGATTGACAGTCACATAGATTCTCAATTGCATTTAAATCCAACTCTTTAACAAATTTCAGAGTATTTTTACTTTCTTTCATTTCACAACTAAAGACAAGATGTTAGCCATTCAAAAGCAATGAACTTTTATAGCACATTGCCAATACAAATTCAGTGTGTGTTTTTGTATAAAAACTGATAACCATGCACATATGTAGGAGAATAGAGACAAAAAGAAAAAGAAAAAAAAAAGAAGAAAGTGGCATGGTGCATCCTTTTTGCCCAAAAGGATATGGGGGAGGTACAAATGGGGAAGATGCAAGCAATATGTGGTGGGGAGGGCCATTTTGGTTACAAGGATTCCAATCACATAGCATGGAGATGCTTTAGGATTGCCATGTCATCTACATTCTAAGCACACAACCATCGCCTGAATCTAAAAAAAAGAGCTCGAGGAAGGACTTGCAGGTGTTGGGTCCCCCAAACCTTGTCAAAGTGGGGGTTTTGGGGCATTTTTGGGGCTTGGGTTAGAGAAGAACGGGGGAACACAATTGGGTCTTCATATAGCATTTCAAAGGAGGGATCCTAGTTGGGGGCGAAGGTGGACTCTACCCCCTATTTTAACCTGTTCGTAAGACCACCCCACATCCATCGCCCACTCGGCTTGGGCCGAGCCTGAACTCGAACGTAAATCCAAACCCAAACCCGAGCCTGGCTTCCCTTAGGACGGTGATTGCAACAACCGCGGTGCCGAACCACGGAAGGTAGGCTTGGTTCGGACCCGTGGCTGGCTTGAAGATGAGGTTCGGAATCCGAACCCGGGCCGCATCTCGCTCATTTTTGTTGCGAGGGTAGCGGAGGATGAGAGACGTCTCGAGAAGACGACCTGCAACGAAGACGCGTTTAGGGTTCGCGGGCTGCTGCGCCATCGCTGCTTGCTGCTTGCGCTTCTTGTGTCTGTGAGGCCTGTTCTGGTCCCTTCGATTTGGTGCTACGCGGTTCTGGAGCTCACTGTGGTATCACGAGCGCTGATAATACGGGTTTAGCACTCCGCGAGGTGAGTTGCAGTGGTTGGTGGAGTTGGTACGGCTGTTGTCGGTTTCATTGCATGGGTGATTTCGGTTTTCAGGGGCTTTTTGTCTCCTCGGATGCATCCGATTTTTGAGTGGCCTCCTCGGGCTGTGGAGTCGTTTCTCGCGGGCCTGTGATGAATTGAGCAGGTGGTGGTTCGGGTGGAGTTTCGGTACCGTGTTTGCAGGTTGTGGTTCCTATTGAGAAGAATAGTAGTTTTAGTTTTAGTTTTAGTTTTTTTTTTTTTTTTTTTTTTTTTTTTTTTTTTCGGTGTTTCTATCGGTTTGGCCTTATTGTTTTAGTCTGTGTTGAGCAGATGTATTCTAGTGTTTTCTTTTAAGTTAAGAATGGTGTTCGAGTGTCTCGTCTTAGTTTGTATTTTCTGCGAAAGCGTGCCTATGTGAAGCAATCCTTGTTGTGTTTTGGGGGAGAATAACGGCGGTGGTGATTATGAGTTGCCGATGAAGTGGAGATTGCCGTTTTATTATAATTTTTAGTGTTACAGTTTATCAATAAAATTTAGCGATCACCTGTCCGTGGCTCATACTACAGTTGTAATACTGCTGCCAGTTCAGTTTGTTCTTTTGTTCATTCACTGAGAGCTATCATGGTCGTGGCGGGGCTTGGTTGGGAAAGTCAAGATTGGATTGCCGGATGAGAATACGCTAGACTTGCAAAATCTGTTGTTATTATACTGTTGAATCCTGTCTGAGGTAGGATGTGTGTTTTTTCAGATAATTCAGGTGAATACGTGTCGAATTTGCACCCGGTGTTTGGATTCGAATCTTAGACCCTTTTTTGGTGAGACGACTTCTACCTTATCAGACGGCCAGCGGGAACAGGGAAGGCAAGGCGCAGAAGGAGGGTTCTATCATTTGTAAGGAGTAACCATGGGTGGTGGCAATGGACAGAAGGCTAAGATGGCCAGAGAACGGAACGCAGAAAAGCTGAAGGGTGCCGGCAAGGGAAGTCAACTCGAGTCCAACAAGAAGGCAATGAACCTTCAGTGCAAAGTGTGCATGCAGACTTTCATGTGCACTTCCAACGAGGCCAAGTGTAGAGAGCATGCTGAGGCCAAGCATCCGAAAGTGGACGTGACAAAATGCTTTCCTCATCTGGCTAACCCGTCTGCTTAAAGTACCTGGTCAAGTGCTTTGTAATGTGTGACTCTGAAAGGGTATCTACAAACTGAAATGAAGGCATGTGTTCTCACTTAGAGATGGTCCTTATGGGATATTATAGTCACAGTACTGGCTCCCCAGTTTTGAATACATGGTTCTGCAACACTAAAGATTAATTTCAGTTTGCGATTCCCTAAGACTGGTAAAGAGATAATTTCAGCTTGCAATTTTGGAAAGACTGAAAGAGTTCATTTCAGCTTGCAATTTCCGTTTTGTCTCGTATACTGTGCTCTAGAATGGGCCTTCGAATTTAACAGTTTGAAGATAAATTTAATCTTGTGGTTTGTGTTTTTCGTCTATCGGGAACGTTGATACTGGCCTTTGGTCTCATGTACAGCCCATGATTAATAAACTGATCGTTCGAAGTTTTGATCTTCTCGGATTTGCCGTTTGCATGGTTTTTACTTTCCTCACAGGATGAGTCCTATTTTGGTTTTCGCCCTTACCCTGGACGATTTTTCTTGTGCGTGCAGATGTTGTACTGGATGTTGTTAGTACATTAGTACTAAAAAATGATTTTTATTTGAATGATGTTAGCATGCGTTACCCGGGCGGCTGTCATTGTCACGTGATCGTCATACTTCACATGGTTAGGTGAAAAGCTCAGATGTTTCCTGGTTTAGTTGTCAACTCTTCAGTTAAGTTCCTGCACTCATACGTTAGAGTTATTCCCTCCAGCCTATACAATGTTTTCCCTATCTCTATCTGGAACTGAAGTCCACAATAAACCATGCGCCTTTCTCTGAAGCTCTGTTCCACCTTTAAATGGTTCTCAGTGTTGATTATTCAATTTCCGAAGCATGCCAACAAAACTTGGTAGATTTCTTTTCTAAAAGCCGTTCAGGGGGCCGAATTCTCCGTAGCACCATGACATGATACTTTTTCTTCTCCAGCCATGACTGGATGTCGGGAACATAAACAAAAGTTCAAACGCCTGCCCTTGCCTGCCTGAGAGCAAAAATTGGGCCAAGGAAGTGGAAGCTAAAGTTTACCTCAACAATGGGGCTGAGGGGACAAGAAGCTAAGGCAATGGGGGAGAGTTGGAGAGAAGTGATTAAGTGTTGAGAAGAGGGGTGAAAAAGAAAAAAAACAATAGGAAGTAAAGATATGCACGACCAAACTTAGGACCTACTCAATATACATGTGGTCATAAATTAATGTACCAAACCATTGAGGATATGTGTTTTTGTGCAAATCTCAATTCTTTTAGATTGATCTAATTGTTATATATGTGTAGTGGGCTTAACAACATCCATATCATTACATGGTTGGTATGGTTCTATGAAGATTTTGTCCAAGCAAGAGAATGTTATGTTGTAAAATCCACTATAGAAGATTGACTTAAGTGATAGTTTTTGCTACAAATACATAGTATTACAAAGAATGCAAGTCATTGAATCTAATTTTTGCAAAGATATTTGTCTTATGCTTCTTTGTTTGCCAAGCTATTGTAAGAGCAATAAACTGCATATTAACATATTTATATTATTGTCAAATTTTTAAGATCTTGTATTAAAAAATTTAAAATCATGGATAAGTATTTTTTGTCAAATTCTTTTTAGATACTAAACCAAATAAATATGTAATATATGATTTATTTGTTACATATAAATCATATATTACATACAAAATCATATTCTAAAAACACTCAAAAAAAAAGTAGACAAATCAAAGATAGACATAATATAGAAAATAGAATGACTATTGTCAAATACAAAAAGAATATAGATTCTTGAGCTAAGAGAAGAATACAAGAAAGACAATGAAAAGTATGAAGAAGGCTTTATTCTTTTTTTTTTTTTTTTCTCTATATATTATTTGATTAAAGAGCTACAAAGCAATGTTCTATAAGTCATCTAATGTATGTCCAACTAATAAGATATGTATCTAACTTACAAGGTAAGTTTTCCACATGTGTACTACATGACTAACTTGTACAATAAGTAATTAATATGTGCACTACATAGCCAACTTGGTCAACTTTTCAACCTATTAAATGCTTACAAGCACTTCTAAAGTCAAATCTACATCTATAAAGCTTTTCCATAAGATATTATCAAATTAAATTACTTTAACTTTTATTTAGCTTCTCTAATCATTCTAATTATTAATGCCAATATTAATGATTTTGACATTGCATAGTTATAATTATAATTATAAATATTTTAAAATATAAATATTAATTATTTATTATATTAAAAAATATATTTTTAATAATATATATTTTTAATAATATATATTTTTAATAGTTTTATTTTATTTTATTTTATTTTATTATAAGTTGTGAATAATTGTAATCATATAAGTAATTATTGGAATAAATATGTATGTCTAAATTATTATTTTCTTTTTTAGAGATATGTTCGATAAAGAGTGGTTATCCATTCATGGATTTTGTAATTTTTCATCTTGATTTTGATGGATGTTGTTAATGAAAAGCCTCAACCTTCTTTATTGCATTTGTAAGATTCTTTACTAGCTCCCATATGCATTCACTAATATCATTTTCGTACCAATGAAAAAAATATTCCAATCTATTCTAGAACTGCTTTAAATCTAAGTCTTCTTTTACTTCAAATTTTTGTTTATTATCTACTTCTATAAGAAGTGATATTTTTCTTCTTCTCAAAATATTCATTGTCTTATATAGCTTAAGAAAAAACATGTAGAATACAAAATTGATCTTTATAGACTCTTATAGATGTAATTGATAAGCAACATGATTGACTTTTTTACAAATAGGAAAAGATCCAAACATACAATAGTCTAATTTATTACAAAGACAAGTAGTCTTGATATAGTAACTAAGTAACCATATTTAGTCATCTACATTGAATTATTATTGTTCCTTGCAATTGTCATGGATGTATTCATGTAAGCTAGTAATTACATATACAAATAGGTGGAAGTAAGTAAAAGTAGGTAAAAGTAAATTAATTCTATAGTATTTGATATAAAAGCTTCTTAGAAGCTTCATAGATGCTGCTTTGACTTCATAGGTGTCTTTAATTAACTTTTTGGATTAAAAACGTGGTCAACAAGTTGGCCATGTGCCACACATGTTGTTAGCTTGAAGATCAAGCTAACTATGTGGCCCACATATAGAAAAACTTGCCTTGTAAATCAAGGCACATGTCCTACAAAGTCAACACATATTGGAGGTCCTATAGAATGTTGTCATGTAGCCCATAGTTAGATAGTATATATAGAGACAAGAGTGAAGCCATCTGCACTCTTGTCAACTCCTTTCTAGCTTCCAATCTAGTTTCAAGGGTCTTTAGTTTCTTTGTCTTTTAGCAATAGCCATTCCAGTTTCTCTTTGAATATACATACTTATTTATTTATATTTTGTTACCTTTTTTTGAGTGAAGGCACATTTGTCTGAATTGTTTTTTCATCGATTTCTTATCCTTGACAAATTGACAAGAGTACACCTACAATATCAGAGCTTTGTCCAATCTTGATTAAGAGTGGATTACTCCTTTTTCTTGATAAGATATAAGCATATTAGAAGTTGTGGATTACCCTCTTCTAAACTGATATTGTCCTTAGTATTTTCTTTGTTCTCAAGTCCTTTCTTCTATTTGTCTTGAGCAATATTAGATATCTTCTCTTTTTTAAGTGTTATCATGGCAAAACTTATTGAAATGAAGAGTGTAATGGCACAAATGCAAGAGCAATTAAGGGAGTTAATGCTTGCAATGAATCAACTCAATTTATCACCACAAGGAGCAACAAGATTGGCAAGAAGTGAAGATATAAAAATCGTTGGAGCTGCTTCAACATCTGCACCAAACCATGTCCTTTTTCTTATGGTGGAACATCCTTCCAGTGTTAGAGAACCAAGAATTGCCATACTTAAGAAGTTTGATGGCACCAACTCCAAATTTCGAGGATTTATCAATCAAGTGTAATTTGTGATTGAACTTCAACCCTAAAGCTATCCAACTCCAAGATCGCAAGTTAGATTTATTGGTATGCTTCTTTCAAGTTCAGCATTATCGTGGTTTTCATCTTTTTTTGAATGACGAGATCCAATATTGAATAATCTAGAGGCTTTTCTGGTGGAGTTTCGATCTATGTATGGAGAACATGATGCAATTCGTGTTAGAACCAATAAGATCTGTATTTTATGATAAGGCAATCGATCAGTAATGTTGTATGCTTTACAATTTTGACAACTTACAACTGAAATCAAGTGGGATGATACTGCACTTATTAGCGAATTTCTCTACGGATTACAATATGAGGTAAAAAAATTAATGCTCAACTTACCTGATCCTCAAACATTGAGTGAAGCAATTGACTTTGCTGTGAAGTGCGACAATCACCTTTTTGAATTCCGATCTGAGAACCGATCTCAACATTACTATAATTCAATGGCAATACCAACACCTCTTTAACACATACATTCGAAAGTAGAGGATATGTAAATTGATGCAGTATGTTTCAAACCTCTTACTGAGCAAGAAAAGATTCGTCGTCGTCAAGAAGGATTATGTTTATATTGTAGAGAATCAAAGCACACTGCTCAATATTGTCCAAAGAAACGACGTAATCACAAACTGAGGAGTATGGCTATGAAAGAAGACAATATGTCGGAAAATGAGTTTGTCTAGCTATAATAGGGACCGTGCGGTTGGAACCTTGTACAATATCTAGTAAAGGTCCTATTCTCTCCTCAGAGCCCTCTCCTTGTTTTACATTAAATGTTATTTTAGGACCTAAATATTACAAAGCCTCTGCCTTGTTAGATTCAAGACTCTCGACGTGTTTCTTAGATGAAGAATTTACTTAAAGACATAGCATATCTTTAGTAAAGAAAACTAAACCCGTTCATGTAGGAGTCATAGATGGTCGTCCATTGTCTTCTGGAGATATTATTCACGAAATCCTTCCTATAGAAGTAATAATCAATGGTCATAATAGCTTTGTAGTATTTAATATCATTAGATCTCCCTCTAATCTAGTCATTTTAGGTTTATCGTGGTTAAAAAAATACAACCCTCAAATAGATTGGATTTCTCAAACTCATACTTTTTCTAAAAGTATAACTAATAGTGTAGTTAATCAAGTAGAGAGTCATAAGTCTAGTTCAATTAAACCCATATTTATAGGTGCAAAAGCTTTCTTGCATACTGTTATGAAAGAATCACCATATATTATTTATGCCACACCTGTTTCTACTGATGAAAAGACTTCAAGTGGCATTCCAAGCCAATATCAAGAATTTCAAGATGTATTTGAAAAAAAAAATGCGGATACACTTTCATAACATCGTCCCTATGATTGCTCAATTGACTTTCAAGAAGGAGCACAATCGCCATTCGGAACAATCTATAGTTTATCACAAAATGAGTTGACTGAATTCAAGGAG